GTGAAGAAGAGTTGTTCTTCAGAAATGCATGTGCAGTCTGAAAGTGTGTTGGCTTTCAGACTGCTAATATTCAAATGACCAGTCTGGATAGATAGGAACCATCATCAGACCTTACCCCTCCTTTCTTTTACTCTTTTCACGTGTTTCTATGGCTGCATACCATTTTCCATTTCCTCTTGTCAATTCTCTTTCCCCTCCATCTCCACTGAAACTCCCACTCCACTCTGCACCATGTGATGTGCCATCATTCACATCAAGAGAGCTATTCTCTTTCTGAATGGGATCATAATCGGTCCAGCTTTACTTTTAATAGCCCATGTGACAATACCTTGCATGTGCATATGGGTAAGTGTGTGTGTGTGTGTGTGTGTGTGTGTGTGTGTGTGTGTGTGTGTGTGTGTGTGTGTGTGTGTGTGTGTGTGTGTCTTTCTATGTCTGACACCTCTGCGGCTGCATGGATGAACATGGGCAGATGTGCCCACTGGAGCGGAACTGCCTAAGCGTGCAGAGACTTAGACATTAATAAGATGGTGACAAAACTCACACTCTCCAATTAAAGAGAGTGAAGAGAGGCCATTTAAAACAGAGGGACTGGGAAGGATGAGAAATGACAAGGGTATCCTGAAGGGAAGGTGGTGGTAGCGAAGAACTGGCTAGTGTGCCCCACATATTTATTTTTCAAATGTTCAATATAGTTATTCCTGTCAAAGAATACAGATTTTGACCTAACTCTGTTTTAAAACTTTCTTGCTACTGACTGTGCAAATACACACATATTTCAAACTCAACTAGACCTAATTTGGGATATTTACATGTAGGGCTTCTGTAAGGCTTTACCTCCAGTCTTTCTGAAATCTGCCTCATTAAAGGTGTATGGGGCTTGAAGTGTCACTGGGACCGATGTAATATAACACCATTCTCACTGCAAGTGTCTCTGCTCTCCGGAATAATACCTATAAATCTGAAAATATGTGCTCTCCATCGAATTACTGTTGATAAGCAGACTTTCTAATCCTTCTCAGTCTGCTCTTATTCTCCATTTTGTCAGGTTTAGTTTTTATAGTCTCCAAACATGAGTCTGGAAAAAACAACTGTTCACCACACATACACTGTGGGCTCCAAAGTGTACAATGCCGGCTACAAAAAGGAAATGTTGTCATGGTACAGGAAAATAGGGATAGAGAAACTGGCAAAGACCTGTTGCCTAGCCGTGATTGAAATTTAGCAGAACTTCTGATTACATTTTTACCTGTTTTAGGCTAAAATTAATTCTATTCTTTAAATTATATTGTTGATTTGTTAAGGTAGGCTCTCTTCCGTCTGGTTTTCTACTCTTACTACAGCTCACAATTTCATTTACAAACATCATAGTCCATGGAGAGTCGTGCCCAACTTCATCTGTCATCCCGTGCATCACCAGTGCAAAACAAAAAGGGGCCCAGATGTGATCCCTGATGTAAACCCACCCCCACTTTGAACCCTGTCACCCCTACAGCACACCTCACCATGTCTCACCGTCCTCATACATGTCCTGCCCCAGCTTCACATGCTTTTTTGCCATCCTGACTCCCACATACACCTCCGCAGTTCCTCTCTTGACACACTATCGTATGCTTTCTTTGGATCCACAAAGACGCATTGCAACTCCTTATTTTCTCTATACTTATCCATCAACACTCGTCTATAGTGCTCTTTCTTGGCGTGAAGCCATAGAGCTGCTCACTGACTGTCACCTCTCTTCTTAACCTAGTTTCAAAAACTCTTTTCTGTATCTTTATGGTATGACTCAACTTTATCCCGCTGTATAGTTGCTACACCTCTGTACATTACTATGGTTCTTGTAAATTTATCTAGTAGGCACAGATCAGTACACTTTTCCTTCATTCCACAGGGATCCTCTCACTCAATCACATTGTGTTAAACAATGTAGTTGAAAAGTCCATTGCCCTCTCCTCTAGACATCTCCATACCGCCACAGGTGCGGGATATAACCGCCTTTCCACTTTTCATTCTCTTCATGGCGAGCCTCACCTCCTCCTTGCTTATTCTCTGCACTTCCTGATTCACCAACGCTCTTCCAGTCATCCTCCTCGCTCTCATTTTCTTTATTCATGAGCTCCTCAAAGTACTCCTTCCATCTTCTCAACAGACTCTGTTTCACTCATTAGTACATTCCCATCACCCTGCTGCACATCCTTTCCAGCTCAAGCTCTCTGCCTAGCCAATCGATACAAGTGCTTTTCTCCTTCCTTAGCATATAACGTCTCGTACAACTTATTGGAAGCCTTTAAAAAAAGAAAAAAGAAAATGCAGTAATACAGACATTTATGTAAGTATCCATCTAATAAGGAACATGAATATCTGTGCATTTATTTTTTTAGTTGTAGTTCAATCTGAATCAAAGTTGTCAATCCGAAGCAAACATCCCTCTAAAACGGCAGCTTTTTTGTGTAGCAAACTGTAATCAGGTTTGTTGAGCACCGCCAATGAGGAGACGTGCTATAAAGAGAGGGTTAAACATCTCACAGAGTGGTATCTAGAAAATAACCTGGTCCTGAGTACCACTAAGAGGATATGAGTATGGACTCCAGAAGATCTGAAAATACTAGAAAATCCCTGCTTTGCATAAATGGTGAAGAGATGGAGATTATGCAGAACATCCACTATCTGGGTGTTCACATTACCAATGATCTCACATGGTCACTAAATATTTCATACCTGGTGAATTTCGGAAGGAGCAAAATAAAGAGCGTCCTCTGTCAGTGTGTTATACCAGCTGCTCAGTAGACAACAACAACAAGAAAAAAACTTATCACCAATTATTATTTTTGTGTCTTTTTAATTTTAATTGTCACCAAACAAGATTTTTCTATATCTTCCTACAATGAAACCAAAGTGTCTTAATCTTAAGACCCACCCTTATGTTATTGATTCATTAATTTATGTATTCATTTTACTTAAGATTATATATTGAAATAAACCAACATTTCTTTATGTGTTTTGATGTCTTATAAAAATTCATCATCAGTGTGGCAGAACAGATCAAGATTTGTGCAGGCAGTGTACACAGTATGACTAATCTATGACCTATTCTTCTTATCCATCCATCCATAAATACATTTTCCTCTGCTTATGTTTTCATTCATTTATTTATATTTATTTATATTTTCTAAACTTTAATTAGCTAGGCAGCGCCTGTATCACCTACGACAACTGAGGAAGTTCAGGGTCTCTCCAAAGATCCTCAGGATTTTCTATACAGGCGCTGTGGAGAGCATCCTCACACAGAACATGACATCGTGGTTTGGGAACAGCTGTGTGAAGGACCAAAAAGCTCTCCAGAGAGTGATCCGTACAGCAGAACGCTGCTGCAGGATTGCTCTCCCCCCGCTTCAGGACACCTACACCAGGAGATGCCGGACTAGAGCAGCGCAGATACTGAAGGACCCGTCCCATCCTGGCAACAAACTGTTCCAACTTCTGCAATCTGGCAGAAGGTTCTGCATCTTCCGGGCAAGGACAGAGAGACTCAAGAGGAGCTTCTATCCCCAAGCCATCCGGGCCCTAAACACACACACACCCGCCCTCTCACATCATCTATAATTGACTGAGACAGGACTCTCTTCCAGACACTCTAAACCAAGGCACAATGTACATTTCAATTCCTTTAATTTTAAATATGTTTATATTGCCTATCCTGTAAAATAGTCAGATGTCCATTCATATTAATGTACAGAATTCACCTGCTTGCTGGTACTACTGCACATTCACCCAATGTATATACTATATATATATATATATATATATATATATATATATATATATATATATATATATATATATATTTATATATATAATGTTCTCCCCCCCCCCCCCCCCCCCAATTTTTTGCACATGTCGAGGAGCGTGTCAGGCTACATTTCACTGTGTGTTATACTTGTATAACTATGCATGTGACAAATAAAGAACCTTGAACCTTGAATTAAGGGAGAAGTCTTTTGAGTTTAAATCTGTTTTTCAAAGGAGACCTGGTCAAGAAGACGCACCATTATGAAACTACATAAATTATATCTATTGTTCTTCAACTATATTTTACTGTATAAACTACATACATGCAGTTTTGACAAACCAGCAAAAAGCTAAGTGTTGTTATGAGCAAGCTGTGAGTTGGGCATTAATAAATGCCTTTCTGTCAGTCTGTGCCACTGGAGCGACACAGGTGGGATCTGACAGAAAGACTCATTTTGGCTCTAGAGCCTTAATGAAATTGATTTTACCAATAATGGACACCGAAATAAAAGAAAAATGTCTTCTTTTAATACAAAATTCACATGAGGAGATTTCAGGCTTGGCGCTGAAGTAAGTCACACATCTGTTAGCCAGGAGACTGGTTTGTGTCCCTATCTGTATTTTGCTTTACTTGGTTTTCAACGCAAAGATGAAAACCAGGTCAAAAAGATGTCAAAGCAATTTCCACTTCAACTGTACACTAGAAACATGATAGAAATAGAGGCCAAAATGCTACAAACCTGACTCCTCATCCCTGACTTTGTTACCTGCTGAAGGTCAGTCTCTGGCTGCTGTGCTCGAGTCACATTCTTTGTTAGCTTCGTGTCAGCATGCTGTTTGAATGCATGTTTGCCAATGTTGTATTTGTAGCATAAGGTGGTTACTTGTTTCCTGGACATAGTTTGCACGTTACCATTGCACTCTTGCCTTTTTCTGAAGTAAAAATCAAAGTAACATTTCCACTCCTTAAAAGTTGTAGAGCGCCACAATTTTATTACTTTGTAACATGTTGCACCTGTAACGGGTGTATTAAAAAATAATTTATATTTCACCAAAGATCCATCCTGCAGTGTTATCTCGCTTTGTCAGTATTGGTTATGTATATGTGTTTATTTATATATGTTTATTTTCTGTATTTATATTTTGGGAGCTTTTATTTTGTTTGTGTGACCTTTGACTTCCCATGAAGTCACTTCCTGTAGCTGCGCTATTTTCCTCAGTCGCCTAGAGGCCCCGCTGAGGAGAGGTGGGCGTACGCTAGTGTTCTCAGTTACAGAGCAAATAAACACAGTTAAAGTAACTAAAAGTAATTCAAACACTGCTCGTTCCCTTTGTGCATTTTGTCTCATAGTTCTGTTAGATATTTTAGTGTGAATTATTGTTTCTCTGTCGAGTACAGCACTTTATTGTAACATGCTAGTTAGCATGTCTCAGATGAGAGCGTAGGAGCATGCACGTGGCTTCTCATGTGGTCCGCTATCCTTCTCTCTCCCTTGAAGGTGTTCATGCAGAAGTCCAGTAAAGTGAAGTTGCTGTACTGTTTTGTTTTTATTTTAAACAGGTATGTGAACTCCCTCTTTTATTTTTGTGTCATGTGAACTGGTTATATCTTCTGTTTGTTTGTGATTCATGTTCACTGTTTCAACTTACTGTAAATATGTAAAATTGCCACTGGTAAATGAAGTCTCCCTAAAGTATAATTTTGTTGATGAGGTAATTGTCACTATATGTTCACGATGCAGTGCATTTTTGTTTGTTATATATGAATATAAATACATTTTAGCAGTATTATTTGGTAATTGGATTTGTTGTAATGTTGCACCTCAGTCGCCTAGAGGCCCCGCTGAGGAGAGGTGTTCATGCAGAAGTCCAGTAAAGTGAAGTTGCTGTACTGTTTTGTTTTTATTTTAAACAGTTCTGGGAGAATAAATCCACCCAGCTGGCAAAGTGAGAGCTGACTCCTCTGGTCATTCGCACAACACAATGCAGAGAACTAACGGCAATAAGAGTTTAAGGCCAGACCGGCTACACACCCACTGGTTTTCAATTCACATTTTACTTTTGATTCATTCATTGATTAAGTGAATAATAACGCAGCAGGCTAGGTTTAGGTACTTAGACCTACATTAAATTATTATGCAGAATGCAGATAATATGGCCCTTCATAAAATTAACCCTGCATGTTGAAAAATTGGTTTTACCTGGTGCATTTAGTCCTATGCAGGTACACTGGTGGTACGTCCTGCTCCAACCATATAGAGAGTATGTTTGGTATGTTGGACCACTCTGCAGTCAACATCGATCGAAACTCCTGACCCCTCCAGCAACTAACCAGCAATTGATCCTGCAGTACTGTTCTGGATTCCCACGGCACGTGGACTCTACATATGTGAGCGTGAGTTTGCCTCCTACATTTTTCTTTGACGAGGCTTCTAGAAGCATGCCCCATGTTGCTAACCTCGCCAATGCATTTGCATCATATCCAAAGGCCAAAGTGATGTGCACTGTACTAACTCCATACTTACATGCATCCATTTTCACCCTACTCTGCCTTCCACCATGCCCTCCTCCTATTTATTTATTTTTTTCTATACAGTCCACAGCACTTATCCGAAACCCGATGAAATCTCTTTGCTTTCAGTCAGGCTACTACGCTAGTTTGCCTACTGATCAAACAGCCTTGTAATTTTATGTTGACGAAAGTAAATCACAGCTCCTCAAACTTCTTTCAATCCTCGGCCACGTTTGATTGTGTAGCCATTTTGAGCGACTCACTCACCATAAAAGAGCCCATTTCACTTCCATCCAGTCTGAGACAGAAACAGAAAAGAGGGGTGTGCCAAGTAAAAGCCTCAGTCTTGCTTTTGGTGGAAGATTAGCAGCTGCCAGGAAGCTTTCAGACCACGAAAAAAGAATAGAAAGAAAGGGGGAAAAACACATATGCACATATATGATACATATATACACTAATAGCCAAATCCACACACTGTCATATTTTCACACAAATGCAAACACACACATATATGTGGATGCTCAGTTACACAATCAGATAGTCTCTCTCTCTTTCTCTCTCTCTCACACACACACACACGCACACACAGAAACTTCAATCAGAGCCTTGTCAAAGCACTTGGAGTTTCTTTTAGCCTCTGTAGTATCTGCAATTCAAAGTGCTGTGGGTTTTGCTTCTGCCAAATTACAAGCTCCATTTGCCAGCCTAATTAACGGTTCATAGCATTCAGTGAAATTTATTGCCACAGCCCGAGCGCATGCCAAACCAAACAGGACAGACCTCACAGATAACCATAAGCTTGGCCGCGGAACCTGACACCTTGAAAAAACAAACTTGTTACAGGGAGTCTGTTTATATACTCCTATTTCCCCCTGTTCACTCTCTCTGCCTCTTCTCGCTCCAGTGTCTCGGCTGACAGTTACTTGACTGTTTCACTTCATGGTCTCTGTGGTGATGGTTGTTAAGAGGAAAAATTCAGGCACACAACCTATTTCTTTTGACCGCAATTCATTTTATGTTTGTCAGCGGGTGCCCTTTTGGTCAATACTGTTTGGATACACCGCTGAAATGTGAGTCTAGAGCACAGGACACTACAGGACAAGACAAGGCCTGAATTTCAATCTTCCTCCCAGACATAACCCAAACAATCTTCTCGATTCCTTGTGAAGAAAAAAAATGCAGTAAAACCTAAACAGCTTTAATTTAAACTGAAAGAACTTTGGTGAAAACTAAGACTTAACTACTGTGACAAAAGTAAAACACTTTAAAACATGGACAAGGAAAAGAGTGGAGTTTCCAATCCAAGCTGCAATGGTTTCCTAATGCTTTTACCCTTGTGATGGAAACAGTAGTGGAATGAAAGAATCATTCAGGCTGGGAAGTCGACTGCATCTAAGGAAACCCTGCACAAAATGTTTGTAGGCTAACCCAACTATATTTATCTTGGTGGAAATCTATCCAGATTACAAAATACAAAAAATAGGCTTCACTGCATAGCTACTTCATAACAGCAGGCTGACTATCAGTCATTATTTATAATGGCCAATAAATGAAAAATGAAAAAGAAAAGGTGAGAGAAACACCCTTCAACCATTTTTTTAAAGTTACATTTTACGGTTTGACCACCAGAGGGCACTCTTCAACTTTGCTGTTGGCATGCTTGGAACAGCAAAAACACAACAACCAGTTGCTTCAAGCAGGGTTGGGTGATACTTAAATGAGCAATCCACAACTTGTTGTGACAATAAAGCAATTTTATCTTAAAACTTTAATGTCACATTATTTTAGTCTCACATTCTGAAACCTTCCTCCTTCATTTCCCATTTGCTTGTTAATTACCTACCATAATTAACAGTCATGTTTTTCAAGGTAAATGCATTTTCATGTCTGTTTCAGTTTTCAGTTTTATTTGTCATATGCAAGTTAGCCTGTTAGTTGGTGTCCTCTGTAGCTAAGCCAACCATAACTTTAACATCAATCATGCATTCCAAGACTTCTCTTGCTGATCTGGTTTAGTTCAACTGACTTACTCTGTTTCATTTTTTTCTGTCCTGGGCCTTCAAACTTTTTCTCTCTACATATTTGGTTATCCCACAGAATGAAATTAAAGCTGTAAATTACACAGTACATAGTTAAAATTGTATCAGTGATAGAGTCATCAATCGTGTACCCCCATGATTACAGTTCTACTCATAAACCTATAAAAAAGAACACATTAATCTGAAAGCTTAACCTTCATGTTTTAACATTGTGGACTTGAATTGTACCTGATGGTTTTATCTTCTGTTCTGTATCCTGTTAAGCAATCTACATTCTTTATCCTTTTTTTTTTTTTAAATTTAGCCAGAAGCTACTTTCTTATATTTTACAGAAAACAACTGACCGTAACACTGACTTTTAGCTACACTAATATACAATGTAATGGACTGCGAATAGTTTCAAAAATATGTTAGAAGCAAAACATTCATCACAATGTCACTATGATTAGCTCCAACTTATCTATCAGTATGTTGAGTACCATAGGTACCAAAGCTGAAAGAGTATAAATACTGAACAATAACACAACGTTTGGGAAAAATGTACCTACTTTGTCTTGGTTGTTTTGCTTTTACTGAATATAGTGTGATCAAAAACTGAGCATCTGATCATAACATCTGGACATTTCATAGAAGTGATGACTTAAAAAAAAGCACTCTATGGAGACCTTTGTCCTCTCATCACATTGTGACTTGATATGAAGTCAGAAATGTCTAATTAAAATATCATTGTTCTCTGAATTTATATAAATTCAGTTATTTATATTTAGTTCACAGAAGTGACTTATCAGTGGTTAGCACTGCTGCCGCAAGAAGGTTTCATGTTTGAACCTCTTGGCTGGCTGGAACATTTTTGTGCAGCGTTTGCATGTTCTCTTGGTGCCTACGTGGGTCTCCTTGGGGTCCTCCAGTTACATCCCACAGCCCAAAAACACGCTTTTTAGGTTAAGTGATGATTCTAAATTTGCCCATGTAAATGTAGGTGTGGGTGTGAGTAGCTATCTCGTCACTCTGTGTTAGGCCTGTTATGGACTGGGACCCTGACCAATGTCAGCTAGAACAGACTCCAGGTGCCCCGTGACCCTGAACTGCATAAGTGGTTAGGAAAATGGATGGATGAGTGGATAGTGCTTAAGATCACAGCCCCCATAGTTATTCTGTAGCTAAATGTAACGAGAGACTGACTAAAAGTGCCTGTAAAAATGTAACAAATGGTAAATACAGCTCCATGTAATTTACTCTCAAACTACAAAGAACATTATAAGAAAATAACAAATGAAAAGAGGCTATGTACACAGCCTGAAATCTTGCATCTTAAAAAACAGTGATGCTAGCCAACTACTCCGTAAAAGGCTTTCTGTAATAGTTCTGCTACAGGTACACAGTAGTTACATAATAACTACTTTTTTATATTTATATTTTATATTTTTTTTATATTTAAGTTCCTCCACATTACTCCATCCATCAATATTACTTCTCAGTGTTATTTGCCCTGCTGCTCCCAAGGCAGGCACACATAGTTGCTGGAAGGTAGCAAAAGGAGACCTTTGCCATATGCCTTGAGCATCCTGTCAAATTATTGCATGATAAAGTTTTGCCATTTTCTGGTCAGCCTGGTGATGTTGTCCACTTGATTCTCATGGGAATGGAGTTTTGTTGTAGGTAGAAGCAGAGTAGCAATTAAATCAAGATTGCTGTGTAAATGATCACTTGTTTGTCAAAGATTTACAATGAGGAGGCTAGCTTCTTAGTCTCTTACTAGCTGCTTTTGGGCAAAATCAAAAACGTCAAGATGAAAAAAAACAACCCCAAAACATAACAGAAAATTTAAAATACTCAGATTCTTATTGTGATAAACTTAAAGTGCAGACATGAAATTAATTTTCCCTTATTCATTTGTTTGATGGTGCCATTTTAAGGATTCCTTCTGTTTCCTCTTCTTCCGGAGCTACGTTAATTTTCTAACACTAAAACCGATCTGTGTAATACACTCCATATTGTACAATTGGGCCGTGTAAAAACAAGAATTTATAACAGTGCATGTCATATTCTCCTAAGAGGTTGGCCATTAGTAAAAAAGAAACTGGACTGGGTTTAACTTGTCAGACAGCTTCAAAGAAGGCTGTGTGGGCCTCTAGGAAGCCTCCCTGGCTGATGGAGAATTATTGATTGTGTGTTCAGATATCTTGAGGCGCTGGTGTATAGCACTGGGGCTTAAATTCAGCCCTAATGCTCAGCCCATGCATAATTTATGTAGTTCCCATCAAAAGGTAGTAGCAATGCAAACTAAAGAGGTCTCAAGAAGCTTTTTGTTGAAAGTTTTCACACATCAACAAGCTTAAAGCTCAGTATGATTTTACAGCAATAGGTCAGAATCCATGAGAAACACAAATTCCAAGTGAGTGCAGCAGTACTCGCGCATTGGTGAAGGTTTTTCATCTATGAAACATACACCATCATTTATCCGTTATAAACACACAATTTAGATTAAAGAAAAACACCATCTGTAGATTCCTATCAACTTATTAATGGGGC